CAAACCATTTGTGAACAATTTTCACTTTCTACCTTGCTTTTTTTTTTTTTTTTTTTTGGTAGAAAATGATACTCAAATATTGTAATTCTTTTTCTACTGATTTCGATTTTACCAATTGGTAAAAATTCAAGGAATTCACACTTTTTTTTTTTGCTTTTACCAATCCACATGTAAATCAGTCAGATGACTATAATCCTCAAGATTTTCTGAAGTTGGCATGAAGAATTAAAATGGGCAGGAAAGGAAACACTGCTGACAAGTAACTTGCTTTTTTACAGATGATTTGCCTGATTGCCAAATTAAGAAGTCAGCTTCTGGAATGGATTCTGAAAATGACTACAAGCTTCAACAAAGAAGATGGGAACATGCAACAGAAAAATATCACACCTCTAAGAGACTTTAATTTCATATTTTCTGTTATTCATTCTGGGACTATTTTAAATGGGTGATGATTTCACCCATTCATAGCTTATATATTTCCATTAACATTTTTAAGGTTGGCGGGATTTAGCACGATGCAGCTAATATGTTGAAATAGTAAGGAAAAGTACTTCAAAGTAAACTCCAAAGCAAGGATTTTCAGGAAAGTTGAAACCTAGGTAGAAAATTCAGGCCCTAAATGTATTGTCTGTAAGTACCAATACTGGAAAGCTAATATGCATGTTATAACCTGAGAGCTTCTCTATTCCTTTTAAATTCTTCACCTCTCTAAAATAATGTCTGAAACTTAAATACTTTCGCAAAGTCCACATATTTACTCATCAGCGGATATTTTGAGTACTTACTATCTGCCATGGTACAGCAGTGAATGGAAAATTAAAATGTTTGCCTCCCTGAAACTTACAGATTTGTTACCTGTTAATGAAAAGTATATTCTAGGAGTGGTTAGCCAATATTTAATGAGAAAGCTCACATTCCTAAACAGCTACTATAAGCCTTTGAAAAACTAGTCCTATTTTATAACATTCCTTTCTATGCACATGTTAAAAATGGGTTATTTTTGAAATGGTGGCATTTGGCATGTAAATTAATTGCTAAATATTCTGGAGCTACTTTTCTTCCCTTAGAAATGGCATCGATCTGATAAACGCTATGCACTACCTTTGATAATAGCATAATAGTAAGGTTCCAATGAAATCCTAATGGTTGAACTTTTCAGGGTTTTAGTTACCTATTGTCAACTCTGAGGTTAATCGTTATGCCTCTGGGATACTGCTGCATCTCCCCAGAAAGACCACCTTCAATGCAAACATTGAAGCATCTAGAAAAAACACAGAACTGAGATTTCAAGTGTACTTAACAGATTACATGAACTGTATTTGTGCTGCTGCTAGTAATTTTGTTTAATAAATGTTAATTGTATAGCTTAACTTGGTCTGATTCACTTTTGGTGGAACAACTACTTGCTACTGAGGTTGTAAGAGGATTAACAGTTCTTGGATAGCATTAAGTCACAAAGACTGATTATCTATACTACCTTTCTGAGCCTAAAATCAGCCAGGTATCACAACTACTGAATATTCCCAAATTTCTAGTAAAAAGAGATTAGTGTTAGAATAAGTATCACACCTAAATAACCTGAACTTTAAATGTGCTCACATTTCCCATAAAATACTTGATCCACATTTCATGAGTGCAAAGAAAAGTCCAACCGTGATAACTTAAACATCAGTTTATCTTAAAAAAATTTTGAACCAGAAGTAACTGATTTCACATGAAAATAGAGCATTCTGAAGTTAGTATATTACATAATTGACTGCATTATTTTAAAAGTCATTAAGTTTACAATGAAAGCATCTGTAAAAATAAATAGGCACCCTAAAAACAAAAATTTGACATGTGAATGATTAGTAAATATATTCAATCTGTACTTGGAGTGTTATGTCAACATAAAAACAAATGGTCACTTTCTAGTTTTTAGAGTAGTGCAAAAGATTCAAATGTGCAGTACTGAAAGCCCACGGTGGACATTTCTTCATGATGTTTCCAACTCCACTGTGAGTTGAAAGTACAAATCTATCATATTGCTGTAAAATACCACAAATTAGTGTAATTGTCTCAAAATACATTTATATCTGGACATCTTGGCCAAAGATTTTTCTTTAAAAAACAAAAACAAAAACAAAAAAAAACTGTAGTACACCTTTTTTGCATACACCATTTTTCTAATTAACCATGTTACAAAAGCAGTAATTAAATACAGTTACACTTAAAATACAATTTTACAAGCTTTACAGTATATACAAACCCTCTACATTAAAAATGTTAAAAATATGCTTTCTTAAAAGAAAACTGATATTCAAGTATTTCTAAACTAAGAGAATTAAAGTAATAACCACATACTGTTAAGTGAGCAAATGCAAAAATTTCTCTAGGTGGAAAATGAAAGTTGACCAAGATTTGATAATTGGGTGAGGTTACTATCAGACTTTTAATCAATTATTTTTGATCTAGAAGGGTTCATTCAATCATTTATATTTTGGAATATCTGAACTTAAGGATTTTTGTCAAGATAATAAATTTACTAATTTATAGCATGATTAAGTTAAAGCAACTATCCACTAATGACTTATAAAGTAAAATACTAATTCTATAAATCCCAATTCTTGGAGTCAACAATATAAAAGTAATAAAACCACAATTAGTTTATCACCTTTAAAAAAACAAAATGAACACCTAATTTAACTCATGTAGTCATCAAATTGGAAAATTTCTGTATTTCAATAGAGATTTCCCCATGAGAGTTAAACTTGAGTTAAAGTTACTATTTGTTTAGAAAAAGGAAGCTCAAATGACTACATGTCATTAAACTCTATAGAAAGTCAGACATTTGAGAATCTGAAAATCAGTAAAATGGGCTCATAACCTCCTAAGTAGGTAAGATTATAGCAGGGGCAATTTAGACAGTCACAGTGACATTCCCAGTAAGAGAGCCCCAGGTTAACTGCTAACTCTGGTTATTAGCCCAACACAAACCAAGCAAAATAAAAATCTTTCACATTTCATAGAAAATTAGAAAAAAAATGTAACACGGTAAATAAATACACTAAACCTAATCCTCCACTTATTTTTAGCTTACATGGCTGAAGTAATGTTTAGCAATACAAATAACAGTCAATGGCCTAATTTCTCACAACTAGGCATTCTGACTATAAAAGATCTAGGAGCAGATTAACTTTCTCCTGTTTTAACCTGCTTTATCATTAAGGCTTTCTTGTTCCAGAACGTTACCAATTTCATGGGTTGACATTTTTATAAGACACTTGAAGGAAGCATATGCAGTAGACTATCACAGAAGTCAAGAAAAAAATGGGTGAAGCCCTCTTCGTTACCCATTAGAAAGTGCTGTTTCATTAAGCAAATACTGCCTTAACTACCCAAACTACATGTCCCCTGATATTCTTCAATTAGCATCATCTGCCAATCTACATATGTGAGTGCTGGTTACTTTTAATACTTACTGGGTCTACTAAGCCATACAATAAAAGGCTTTTTATTCAACTGCAGCCAGGAGTACATAACTTTTTGCATACCCCAGATTTCCTATTTTTCCAGGCATGCCCAGACTAATCAAAGGAAATTTCTAAAATATCCAATAGGTTGATCATTACACAAAAATATAGAGAGATAGAAAGGTAATGTTATGACTTTAAAATTGCCGTCATTTTAATTTTATGCATCACTAGGTTGGGACAGTGGGTTCCTATAATGTTTTGATGGCCTCCGAGAAGGTCGAGCTTGCTGATTTCACACTCACCTATTACAGTGGATACTCTAGGTTTGTAACTTTGCTCAGAAGGGCAGAACCAAGTGTATATGTAACACAGGCCCTACCCTTCTTTCACTCTGAGAGTGAATGATCAGGACAAGCCACTGCTCTCTGGAAAACAGAGCTTGGGCCTCTGATGGTATTTCAATCTGTATGTATCAGTCATGCAGCTGTCAACTGAAAAATACGTAGTTAATGCAACTGTCTCATTTGGACCAGAAGAACTCGAGTCTGTTTTTGATCGGCAGAGATCACCAACAGTTGCACCCAACTTGGCTTGAATATCATTAGCCGAAGAGCTGGGTGTGTAGTATGGTATTTTGCCAACATGTTCTTTTACTTGAAATGTTTCCTTCAGTTTCTCATCATTCACATAATTATTCACTTCTAAATCTGGTTCTGGAGCTGTAATTAAACTGTGCTTTGGAAGAACTGAAGACTTAGCCTTCAACATCTCTGGAAGTCTGACATTGGGCGAAGGCTCCTTTTTTTCTGATTGTGGCACACTGGTCATAGTATACTTCTTTGGTGGCAGAGGAGGTGGTGGGTTCTGGCAGGCAAGCTTTGGCATCTGACAAGCATCAGCCTTACAGGTTGACTGAATGAAATGCTCTCTGGGTAGAGAGTTCACGGAATAGCACGGCTCCATCATATTCTGCTGCTGGATGAGAGGGGCAGTTTCTGGCTTTAGCTCATTCGTCCTCATGTGTGAAGACCATAATGAAGACTGAGAGACTATTTCAGGATTGTTGACTCGTTTTTCAGAAGAAGAATCATTAATGTGAAAAGGTAAACCTGTTCTCTCAGAATTTTCTGTGTTAATCCACTCAGAAAACTTGGATTCACTTGATTTTTCAAGTTTCCATTCATCTGTCTGGTGGTTCTGCCTTCTTGCTGTGTGGTCCTTGAGTATTTGTGAACTGGATGAAGGGAATGACTTTTCATTGGTCTCACCTATATGTGACCTGAAATGTAAAAACAAAACCCAAACTAAAATACTGCATATGAATATGCAAATCTGGAGGAAAACCAACATTTGTCCTATTGTTTACCTTCCCAATGCACACACAGTTTGTTATTACACTAAAAGTGTATTTGTGATGAAATGTAGCAAGAACTTCAGGAAAGTATTACAAGCAAACAACTGAATGCACCAAAACACATAGCTAAGTGTGTTTTATCAAACAGAGGTACTGAAAAATAATGCTATAAGGATAATGTACTAATTAAACATCATTTGTTTACTTAAGATGCCCCTTATTTAGGTCATAATCTGTAGGGTGGGAATAAACGATACTGCACTGCAAATTAATTTTTCTTGGATAATTAAATGATTTTTCTCATGTGAAATTCATGGAATTCAAATAGAGCAGAACAATTAAGTGTTGAACCTTTTATAGGTACGTTAAGAGCTAAACTCAAACTTCAGCTCCATTGCTTTGGACAAATAATCTAAGTACCAAATTTTCTCTTTTGTAAAAATACCATCTGCCTTATAAGAATGCTGTATACATGCTTAAAACTGACCACCATTAGGCCTCCATCTTTTTAATGATCCCAAATAAAACAGGCATCCTAATGCTGTATGCTCAGAGCTTTCATAGTAGTAATGCGTAGTTACGCCCTTCTGATATTTTATATTTCTAAATATCTATAAATACCTTTTAGTCAAAGCATTTTTTACTTGTAGATGTGGCTGTGGCTGGGACTCGTGAAATTTATAGCCTACTTCTGAATTCTTAACTTCTTTCCTCAAGCCTGAGGAGAAAAGAAAAAAAAAATTAATGATCTTTTACAATTTACTCCATATTTTACTTGTTCAATATTTACATAAGGTTTTCCATACACAGGAAATTCACTTCCAACCATTGAAGAAACATGAATTGTTCAAGATTCAGCTAAAATAATACCTTTTCTTCTGGGCCCTTTATACAAAACCATTGGTTCATTCCTCAACTTACTAAAACCCGACAATGTCAGCAAGGCCAGAGTATAGCTATTCTCATGGGCCTTCCGTGCTTCCCCAGGCATAGAAGATGAACTCTTAACCGAGAAAGTGATGGGAAAATGCTGACTTTGAAGAGAGTTTTAGACAGACGTTTAGATTAACTATTTATTATGAAGTGAGCTATTTTACCCTTTACCAGTTTCCTCCCTTATGTAAGGAGAGAATGATATCTATTCTCGCCACCAATGATATGTAAAATGTTTTACCAACACTAAGTGGCCATCATTTACTGACTACTCACTCAAGCTATAAAAGGCCGATAGTAATTATTTAACTTAATCTTCATGATTGCACACCATTTTTACTTGAAAAGATGACAACCTTCGTGCATTCAGACTTTGTTATCTGTCAGAAAATAACTGTTCTGGCTTTTAAAAATCTCAGTTGCAACTATTCTGTGAAATGATGCTCCTTTTTACATCTAACAAGTCAGGGTTAGGAAAGTTAAGTGACCTAATTGATGTTATACAGCTAGCAATGGGGAGCACTCAAACCAAACCATGGTTAACTCCAGAACTCATGCTCTTTCCACTACCTGCAAACTAGCTTTGGCATTTGCCACTAAAATACAAGGTCATTATGCTGATTCTCCTGTCCATGAGCCTGAAATATGTATAAGTTGAAGTTACAATATAATTTTCCTGTATCATTATATTACTTCAGAATGTTTATTTTACTTAACCATAGTTTCAAGCCCAGTATTCACAAACACAAGGAAAACAAAACAACTCTTAACATTTTCTGCTTTCATTAAAACATCCACCGAACGGGCAGCAGGAGGCAGCAGAGGTTTTCAAGTAAGTCGGAAACCTGAAGATCACCATGGCAGGCAGTCAATCAAATGGTCTGACTTCAAAATTCCAACTTGTTTAAAAATAGATGTGTTATTTTTCTCTTCTGCTGACATAGGCATCCATGTGTCTTTACTGGGAATTTTGGTTCCAGATTCTTCATAAATCTAAAATAGTCTGATTTTAACACTAAACACCTAAAAAACCTCAAAGTCAGGGCACAAAGCTTTAACAAGTAGTAGTATTTTTGATACTGTATCCAAGAAAATCCAAGGTTCAATAGTCAAGAAATCAAAGTACATGGTTCATCTGAAAAGACGACTCCGTTTTAAAACGGACTTACATAGCAATAAAACAATAAAAGCTGCTGGTGTGAACTGTAATTTTCTTCTTGAAGGCCCTCATTTTCTGAGCTTCCTGTGAAGCTCAATATTTTCTCCTATCTTTCAGGCTATTCCTTCTTCTTTGTTTTTTTTTTTTTAAAGATTTATTTTTTATTTATTTTTTATACAGAACTGGGGTACAGGCCAGAGGTGCAGGGGTGGTGAGAGGATTCACCAGAGACAGAGTGGGGTGCAGAACAGGCAGATGGACAAAGTACACTGCTGAGGGGAGCAGCGGGCGGGTTGGTCACCTCCAGGGCGGGGATCGAACTCGCACTGAAGCAGCTGCGGCTCACTTGTAGTGCTGCACTTTAACCCCTTGCACCACCAGAGAGTGCCTACTCCTTTTTTTTTTTCAAAGTTGCTACTTGACATTATTTTCAGCTCTCATATTACTCAGTAAGTCCCATGTTCCTTGCTTTCTCTATTTTTGCCCTGAAATGTCCAGTTATGCAAAGTGAAACTTATATCTATGGTATTCAATCCCCATATGTACTGAAGGCTACCCATTACAGACTCTTACCTAAATCCTCAACTTACATCACTAATGATCCCATAAACCTATTTACTTAGATGATAAACAAATCCAAAAACTCATTTGGCATCCTCTATGATCCCCTAAATTTGCTGCTTCTGTATTCCCTGACTTGGTAAATGGTGTATCTATTTATGTTAAGTCCCAAATATGGTCATTCCCAGCTTCCTTCCTATCCCCCATTTTATACAGCTATCACAAAAATTGCCTCTACCACCCACACAGCCTTAAAATCTCTTAATCTTCATTCCTAACAATGGTACTTCCTTGGCTAGTATTAAAGTAGCCATTTGGCCCTCTCTGGTGGAACAGCAGGTTAAAGCGCAGCACTGCAAGCAAACTCCTGCTGCTTCAGTGCGAGTTCGATGCCCGGCCCCGGAGGTGACCACATGGCACGCAGACCTCTCCTGGCCCGCCCGCTGCTCCCCTCAGCAGTGTACTTCGTCGATCTGCCTGTTCTGCTCCCCACTCTGTCTCTGGTGAAGCCTCTCACCTCTCCTGTACCTCTGGCCTGTACCCCAGTTCTGTATGCACAAATAAATAAATCTTTAAAAGAAAAAATTAAGTAACTATTTCACTAATTTTTCTCCCATTGCTATAAACTCACCTTCTACATTGTGACCAAAGACTCTTCCCTAATGCAAGCTGGAGTATGCTACTCTCCTCCTGTGTGCCTTTCCGATTACTGTCAGATCTAAATATAACGTGACCATTTCGTCATGACTTGGCTCCTACCTACCCTTCTAGCCATCATCTCACAGTATCCACAGAAGCATTCCAGACCTGCTTACACCAGTTCTTCAAATAGGTGAAACTTTCTCCTAACCATATTCTTTTGAATATTTCACTTCTTCAGCCTTAAATGTGACCCATTTAAAATAACAGCTAGAACAATCCAAATGGAATTATAGAATTTCAACAAATTAACCAAACAGCTTTAGACAGTATAGGTAAAGATTTTTGCAGCAGTACCCATAATGACATAGACATCGGTCATTGTTTCTATCAACAAAGAAAAAATATCAGTGAAATAATTACAATTGCCTTTAAGTTCTCTACTATCAAATAAACTTACACAATACATTAATACCTTTTTTATTATTTAAACTGACTTTATTAAATTTAAATTGACTTAAATAAAAAAATTAAGGCTTTGACTGTCTAAAGTCTTTTACTTACTACTAGAAAGTGATTTTTCTGTCATAACTCAAGTGTAAGCCCATTTTATAAGCAGGAAAAAAGAAAACATAAAATCACACCCAGTCACAAATTAAATTCTAGCATGCAGGGCAAGTTTTTAGCTTCAGGAAACAAGGCCGACCCACACACTCATTCCCAGACTGAGGGAAGGGCTACTCACACAGGAATTATAAAGCACAAACATGGACAAAGTTCTCCAGGCAAAGACTGGCTTCAAGAACAATGGTGGGTTTGAGGCTTATTAAATAAGAAATAATTTTAATATTACACAATCTATGGTGTTAGATAAAAGTGGGTTACACAACCCCACAACACAACACCACACTTGATACCCACTAGGATGGCAATGGCCTTTATAAAAGTAAACAGCAAACGCCAGTATCGTGAGGATGGGGAAAGCTGAAACCCTTGCATGCCACTGGTAGGAACGCCGTGAGGAGGAGTATGGTAGTTGCTCAATGTCCATCAAGAGACAAACAGATAAACAAAATGTGATATACGACAAGTGAAATGTCGTTCAACCTTAAAAGGGAATGAACTTACGAGTCCTGCTGCAGCATGTGTGAACTCTGGAAACACTGTATAATTGAAGAAAGACTCACCAAAAAGAGATATTGTATGATTCCACTTATATGAGGTACCTAGCCAGCTTCATGGAAACAGAAAGTGGAATGGAAGACCCTAGGGGCTGAAGGGCGGAGGCCACGGGAAGTCATCTAGTGATACTAAATGAAAGGGCAAGTTTAGGGTGATGACAGAGTTCTGGGGAGGGGTGGTGATGGCTGCACAACAGTGAGTACACTTAGTGCCACTGAGTAGTCATTTAAAAATGGCTAGAAAGGCACACTATTTCTGATTAAATGAGGAAATACTTTACAAAGTTCTCAATCGCAGGGCACTCTTGACCATCAAAATCTCTATGACCTTGTGTTTTCATTAGCACCAGGAAGCAGGCATCTTTTTGTAAGGAGACTGAATTTGAAGTTATTGTTCAATTCCACCAACTTCTGCTGCCGATTTCTGGCTAGTCCTTTACAGTTTCCTGTAATACTTGGTTACCAGACTTTTATCAGATTTTTAAACTAGCGCAACATTCATATGAGAAAGGAAAGTTATTTCCTTAATGTTAAGTGTTTCCTTCTGATATTATAGTATTTGATGAAAACAAAATAATTTAACATTTAATCATTTTCAGTATCTATACTATGAAAAAAAACCTGTATAAATACCTGAAGAATAAAAACCAAAAAGGTACTTAAACTTTTTATATCCATGGTTATTATTAATCATGAAAAATTATATCCTCTCTAGCACTCTGAATTCTAAGATTTGAAAGCACTGTCTTTCTTTGCAACCTCAATAATCTCCTTGCTCATCATTTTCTTTGATTCCTCTCTCCTAAAGCTTCTAGTCATATCCTACCAATAGCAACCCTGAAGTCTATATAATTCAAACATCTAACTTTCTTTAGTTCTGGGCTGTTAGGTACTGCCCAGAAATCACCTATAATAACAGTACATATTTAAGACTTCATTTCTAAACTGAACTTTTCCAGTTGTTCATCACTTTTCTACTTGTCCTTCACTCCTATGGCAGACACTGGGACGTATTACACCCATATGTTGGCACCTTTACAGTTGCATTTTTCCAATCTCTTTGAAATTAGACCTGACTCTGAATCTTGCCTTGGCCAACAACTTGTGAGTGGAAGTGCATTATCAACTCTGATTTCAAGTGTTAAGAGCTACATGTGACTGCACATTTTTCCCCTTCAATCTCCTCACTCCCCAAACACTGCAACAATCAGAGAAGCTTTTGTGTGATGGAGGCTCAGTAACGCAGGGCACTGAGTGACCACCAGGAAGAGACTCCATGCTACCCTCCAAGGGGTGCATCTGGTGAGCGGGCGCAAATGTGTGTGAAGGCACTGGCATGCTGAAGTGGCATCAACACAAGGCCTGAAACAGCCTATCCTGCCCGAGACGCTTCCCCATTTTCACATTCCCTGAAGCATCAGTTCCATACTCTACAAAGCCCCCAAGCAAGGCACCCCCCAACTTCTAGCCTCATAACTCATAAACTTACCAAGTTTTAGCTTCCTGCCCTTACTACCACAACTCATTCTCTACTGCCACTATTACAATACAATTAACTCTTTACCTTCCATGTGGTTTTTGCTCTGGTGGGAAGTACAGTTGCCACGTTCTACATTTAGATTGTTTGTCTTAACTTGATCACTAGAAAACAGAACAAAATGCACACAAACACATCAGCTATCAGGGATCTCTACTGTAATTCAGTCTAAGAAAAAGAAATATTTAAGTAAGTATCATTTCCCACAAACTGTTCTATAGTACTAATGTACATTATTCAATTTCATCTTCCATGACACTTACAGTAGAGTTTATCCTCATTTTACAATAGGAAGTTAAAGCAATGAAAGTAAAATTAATTTCACTAAGAATTAAAATCTAAACCTATCTGTTTACAAAATCCTGGAATTTCTACCACCCTAAGCTATCCTTTTCCAACCAGTTATGAAATCACCCTGCCAAATAAAAAGGTTCCCAAAATCCTTATTATAATGATTACTTTAATTAAAAAAAGGTGACTTTTGCAAATATGCTCTTTAATAGCGAATGCAGTAAAATACCAGCCAATACAAAGTTAAAATGTTTTAGATGGACTGAAACATCAGTCGGAAATAGTGGCTAGACTGATGTAAGTAAAACTATAAATGAATTCAGAATGAGTAAATTAAGAATCAAATGAAGGAAAACCTACTTGTTATATTCTTTTACAATAACTAAAGGGAAAAACATCTCTCCATGCAACTGGGTTGTGACACAAGATAAGAAACCCAGTTCTGAAGATTTATAGAATTACATTAACGACTAAGAGGAAACCGTTTTAAATCTCTGCTTTAAAACATGCTGCACAGATTCAGTTTTCAATGGCAACAGTTACAATCTGTTTCTGTATTTCCCAATTCCTAACAGCACTGTCATTAAAAAATAGAAACCTGAATTATCAAATCACCTGCAGAATCTCAGGTTACACGACTCTGAGCTCATGCTCTTTCCATTACATTTAATTGACTCCAAACTTGGAAATTACTTCAGTTAATTAAGGGGGGAACAACTCTGTGATGTGGTGTTACCTGCCGGACGCCGCGTCTTTAACGCCGCTGCCGTCCGTCACCGCGCCGCTCCCGTCGGTAACAGGCGAGTCCAGGGTGGCAGACCCGTTGCTGACGTGGTCACTGCTTTCGTAGCCGGACTCGGCCCTTTGCAGCTGCCAGTTATCACCGGGAACTTTAGTTTCTTTGAGACTTTTACTTTTCTCCACTCCTTTTCCACTAGATTCAAGAGAACTCCTGCTCCCTATCTCCTGCTTCATTTCATCTTCATAGATGGTCATTAAACTCTTTGGCTTTGCATTTTCTTTTGGCCCGTTGTTAAAATTCTGATCTTTACTACATTTAGATTTGTTACCAATAGATGATTTATGTCTTGGACTCTGCTGCTTTTTTTCACTTTCATTAAAGATACTGTCAACATTTAACGTCTCTCTCATGGGTCTCCAACTGCGGTTCCGGCTTTTGTTGCTGCCAGCAGAGCTGCTGCCTTTGTCTCTAGAGTCCTGGCTGCTGTCTGTGTCGTAGCCAGTGCCACTGTGACTCTTAACTCTGCCAGTTGGCTTCTCTCCTGGAGCAAGACACTGGGATTTACTTGACCCCAATACCTGGGTAGAAGCTAGATGCTGCTGCGCAACTCGGTCATGTCTACATGGTCCTTTCCCTTGACTGGGATAGAGCTGTGTATTTGCATAATGTCTAAAGCCATTTGGAGCAGGGGGTGATCCAGACTTGAAATGTGAAACATCTTCATCAACTAAATCTTTAAAAAAAGAAATAAAGATACAAATGAACTACTCTTCAGAGTCACCTTTTAGCCACAAGTCAAATACCTACTGTGAAAAGAAATGTTAAATAGTAAGATGTAAATAGTAATTGTGAGTACTTAAATTCTATCTCATACTGCTTTGAGGCTGAAAATGCTTTCTGTCTAGAAGTTTAATGAGCGACATCTACAACATAGTTATATGTTCACTTTAAAAACTATCTTTGGGCCCTCCCTGGTGGCACAGTGGGTTAAAGTACAGCACTAAAAAACTAAAGCCACTTCTGCATGAGTTCGATACCCACCCCAGGAGGTGACCCAAATGGCGCAGCAGACCTCTCCTGACCTGCCCGTTGCTCCCCTCAGCAGTGTGCTTCCTCAGTCAGCCTGTTCTGCTCCCCACTCTGTCTCTGGTGAAGCCTCTCACTGCCCTTGCACCTATGGCCTATATATGTTCTATATGAATAAATAAATAAATTTTTTTAAAAAATCTATTTCTAAAACAGTTTTTTTAATCATTCTATTTCACTCACAATGAAAATCATAAAAATATTCTCTACCTCTTATACTGGTAAAATTCAAAATTTGTTTAAATAATCTCAGCTAAGAGTATGAAAAAACAGACACCCAACCCCACTGGTGGGAGTGCAGGCTGGGCCCATCTCTCAAAATAGCAAGAGTCAAATTTATCAGAATTAAAGATAAATATACCCTAACCCATCCATTCTTCTGAAATCTTATGCTACAGTAGTATACAAAAAGTGAAACAAAGGTATATGTGCAAGGATGTGACCATGATAAACATCTTAAATCAATCTTTAAAGTCTATCAGTGTGGCTGAAATGATGGTATACCCATCAGGAAAGAAGACGAGACCTCAGAGAGGAAGGCACACACACAATGAACTGGAAACTGTTAACACTGGAATACAGGAGAGGCCAGGAGTTGCACAAAATGAAAAGAAGTTCTTTTCATTCATTTTGTAAACTTCCTTATCATTTGAATGTACCAAATGGAAGAATTGAATTTCTAATTAAAGAAAGCTAAAACATCAAAAAAAAAAAAAACAAAAAAAAAATCCACAATCCCAGGCTACAATTTAAGAGCAACTGGGAAATTCTGACATTTATAGATTAAGTGTAGGTATGTTAGAGAATTATATTCAAACAAATGTCAATATAGATAACACAATTTGTAAATATATAAGATAAAATTATATTACAATCATGAAATTTATTTTAAAAATACAATGTTACCAAATCCTTTTCAAGTTAATGCTCTCAACTCGTAGCTTACCTCGATGCCGGCCCAAATCCTTCCTCTGTCCCCGCTCCAGGTCTTTCCTTTGTGAAGAAAGTAAGTTTCTCTGCTCAATGGCTTTCAGAGCACATTCTCTGGAAATGTCTTTCATTTTTTCCCTTTGATCACTGTGACGTAATTTAACTACAGAAGAAGCCAATTTTACAATAACAATCATTTTTCAAATCATTTTTCAAATTGCTCAATAAAAGTACAAACTGACCTACAGTTATGTATTAAAAATAAAATAAAGATGAAAGTACAAAATGAACTCCTTTTAACTTGAACTCTTTGTAATTTATTCTTAACTTGAACTCTTTGTAATTTATTCTGACACTGAAGAGGCATGTTGTCTTTTAAAGACTTCTCTGATTGCACCAAAAGCAAGTGTAAAGGAGGAAAGAGACATGGATGAAAACAGTAACAGCTAAAGGTATGGGCCCCATGTGTCAGGCACTAGTCTGAGACTCTTACCTCGGGCCCTCCCTGGTGGCACAGCAGGTTAAAGCACAGCACTATGAAGCTATCACAGCCGCTGCAGCACGAATTTGATCCCCAGCCAGGGAGGTGACCCACGTGGCAAGGCAGACCTCTCCTGACCCTCCCTCTGCTCCCCTCAGCAGTGCATTTCAGAAGATCTGCCTGTTCTGCTCCCTCAATCCTTTCACCTCCCCTCTTCCCCCCTCCTCTGGCCTGTACCCTAGTTCTGTATGTATAAATAAATAAATCTTTAAAAAAAAAGTCTTAGCTTAGTTAATACTCCAAGGTGCTATAGTTACTATCATCTCAGACCAGAAAATTAAGACAAAGAGTAGCTTAAAATGTGCCCCAATTCACATAGCTTTAAATGGAAAACCAGAATTAAGAAATTACATTGTCTGTTTATGTTCTTTAAAAAATGTATATATATTTATGTATTTATACATACAAGACCTGGGCTGTAGACCACAGGTGCAGGGGCTAAGAGGATTCATCAGACACAGAGTGGGGAGCAGACAGACAGGTCTATTGAAGCACACTGCTGAGGGGAGCAGAGGGCGGGTCAGGAGAGGTCTGCCGCGCCCTGTGGGTCACTCTCTGGCCCGGGATCACACTCAGGTTGCAGTGGTTGGCCATAGCTTGATAGGTCTGAAACTTACCCCTGTGCCAGCAGGGAGGCCCCACCAGTGTTTATGTTTGCAACATTTAGCTTCTGGACCTAAAAATAGAGATCTTTTGAAAAACAGAAAATAGCTTTACTCTAAGAGTATCAACATTTGGTAAGAGAACAGGAATAGTTTTGTTAAGAATTTTTGAAAACTTGTACTGTAATTCTTTGTTCGTAAGGTGTGAATTCTGAGCCTTACCACTTTCATGAAATGTGTCACTCTTGTGATCAGACATTACTTCATTAATATATTTAAAAGTTATTTGAAAAACCACCCTGAGCAATTGCAAAATTAAGATTTATCTGTTTCCAAACCATAAACTAACATCTTCCTGTGGTGCCTGGTTATAGACCCAAGTCCTACTACCCTAGTTTATGAAAATCAAAATCACAGGATGAGTAATAAGACAGTTGAATAAGAATGAGGTTAAGAATAAACGACAGCTCTAATAACTCTGAACTATGGCTACATTCACCAATGGTAAATTTCATTTTGGGATATGATCCAAATTATTAATTCAGGTATTTCCGCTCCCAGTTAATTATTAACTCTTTGAAGAAAATTCCCATTATCGCCTGTGGGAACCATCCAGATAGCCTCAGGCCTCAGCACACCTTAGAGGACGGAGAATCTCAAACACTGCTGGACTGAGATCGCTGAGATAACCCCACAGGTTCACAGAAAAGCATAAGCCAGAAAGAGAAAATTCTATTATGTACTTGTTACTTTATCGTCATTGCCAAGGAAAACCAGTGTAGCACCCACCTCGAACATGGCCCTTACAAGGAAGTGCAGACTCGGTAGTTACTGAGAAGAAAAGGAGAAACCTTACTAATCGAGGACAACACACAAATGAGAACTGAAACACATACCTGGTCCCCTACTGCCATTTGCTTGAATGGGGCTCGGATTGAATGAGGAAGTATTATCCGCTTGAAATTTCTGATTTTCTTTCTGTTTTGCCTGCTCACCAAATCCATTTTCTTTTGGAATTTCTGATTTACAAATTGAGGATTTTTCACATCCTTAAAAAAACAAACAACAATGTATCATCCCCTTCTGCCTCCTCACTAGAAGAGGTGCCTAAATGATCTATTGAGGCATATTTTGTTTCTACTGTAAACAACATCACTTAAAAGCACAGCTAACTGACATCTTTTCAGGGTTTCTACATGCTTTGTAAATGCATTGAAATCTCAGTATTTTACTGCCAGGAAAGGAACAGCTAGCAGCCCTGTGCTTGTGAACACACAGTGGGTGGCTCCTGCAGGTGCTGCTGAGGCCACTGGTGGCGAAAGGTTCTCTGTTGAGATCAAGTCAGAGCAGAAGGATGCTCCGGAGCCCACTTTGCTGAAATTCAATTTTGAAATGGGCCTCAACATTTATTTTACACTCAGTATTCCTCAGTATATGCCTATGATGACAGAAAAACACGGAAAATAATTTAAGAAAGGACTCACCTGTGTTTTCTGCACCGGATTTGTAGTGGGGCCAGGGGATGACCTGCCTGGGCGCATCCTCAGTGGAAACCGCCGTGCCGTCTGGGTTCGCGTAGAACAGCAGCAGGGGCTGGAAGTGGCATCGGAGGCATTTGGAGACCACGTCTTTCCACTTAGTTCCAACCTTTACAAAATCCACAATGAACACAAACAGAGCAAATCACTGTATGACATGAAAATGGAGACTGGAGGAATTTGGCATTAAAATATCTTAAAGTCACTCAGATAGCAGCAGTTCAACAGCTCTTTGCTTTATTTTGTAAGTAGTCTAAGTTAAACAAAAATCATTTCAACATTATCATTTAAAACCCTGACAGACAAAATTGCGGTCTATAGAAAGATTTAGGTTATGAGATTATAAAACACTTTTCACGTACTCGGTTAACTGACTTGACAAAGATTTCAAGGCAACTTAACGGCAATCTAAAAATACAAAGCCCACAAAAAATAGAAAAGTTAACAAATGCTGCTGGAACAGCAGGACAGTTATGTGAAAAGTGACCTCAGATCCCATTTCACATAAAGCACAAAAATCAACTCAGAATGAATAACACAAACACTAGAGTGTAGGCAAGACCAACAACTTGCCACTACGATTAAAGCCCAGTCTCCTACAGAACTTTGTAAAAATTCAGGCATCGGCTCCTATCGCGCTGAATGAAGAAGTCAAGAGGTTGTTTTCTAAAAAGCCTTAAGTGTGGGGCTGGTAGATACTCCTTATTAAGTGCTATAACTAATTCCTTTTATTTTATTTACCCAAACATAAAATAGATATCTGATTTTGAATACCAAACACGAAATTTGGAAAGTCACTGTTCAAAGAAAAAGATTTTTTTTTTCCTCCACAAAGAAATGCAAATAGCAGCTGTGTTGCAGGCAAAAGGGCAAATCTATGGCTCGCTGACAATCGCCTATTTTAAACTAACGTTTACTAGTCACCTTTCTATTTTTCTGGAAATGACAAATTTAAAAGTTGGTTTCAAGATAAACCAGATTTCAATAATAAAAGTACAAGCTCAATGATTATTAAATATTCAATGTATTATTTCTGAAGTAACTTGAACTTAGTAAGCCCATTTACCATTGTTTACAATAGATATAGATTACTTTATATAATTATATCATTCTATCATTACATTATGATATATATATAATTATTATATCATTTATTCCTAAAAGTAAAAATTTTAATAATTATCCTAATCTGTAAAAAAAGTTACTTACCTCTTTCACATTTGCATCATCAAAAAAAACCCATTTGGAACTCTTAGTATGAAAAGCAAAGGCACAATAATGTCGACTGGCATAGCAGATTATACCAACCAGGTGAAGTTCACTATTCGTGGCATTTTCATCTGTAACCCTATAAAAAAGCTGTTTAAAAAAATGTGCATTAAATACTGTACTTCAAAAAATGAGGACTAATTTGATGAATCATATATCTGACTCACTCTGAAAAATAGTTCTGATGCATTCTATAATCTAATCCAATATTATATTTGTACCAGAGTCACCACTAACACTGCACAGAATTATTACTTTTAATTAGTATGTAAGAAATATTGAGTTCAATTAAATGAGTTCATATAATTTAATTCAGGACACAATACAATTACACAGAATTGATAATTCACATGTATGAACTCAAAATGTGAACAAAATCACATATTTCGTGGTAATTCTTGACTGAATCACATATTTTCACATCCATTATGCATATTAGCAAAAAGACATCTTAAAATTTTAACTGTGACAAAAAACAGTTCTGATTCCATTAAGATGGTAATAGGCATTTTACCTAGTGGTGCAGTTGGGACTTTAAATCTCAGACCTTTTGAGATTACTATGTATAATCTTTCCAATGCTAACACACATATTACCACAGCATAGCATCACAACTCTGGAGTAGAGCATGGAAGAGACGTGAGAGTTTGTAATTATTAATAAAAATCATTCAAGGTCTATGCAAGAAATGCATTCCACTAGTTTGACTTGATTAACTTTATCAGTGCTACATATAAATATTATTTAGAAAGAAAATTTAATTTTGAAAAGCATAGAAATGCACACATGTTTTGGGGGAATCTAAAAATAAAAGGGAAGAGGATGCAGCTCAGCTCACCCCAGGCAGGTACAGGTGTGTTGCTAGATTCCGAACAACATCTTCGGTCAGGTCTGATTGCTCAGAATCCCAGACTAAACCAATCGTAACAATCTCTGGGCAATTCATTAAAACACGGCGGATTTTTATAAATTGGCCACAGTTACTCTAAAGAAAAACACAGAAAGCAAGTTTAAAATTATCACAACAAATCACTGATAATGTTCCTTATGCAATTCATATCATGCAATAAGCTTAATATGTAACATAACTTTATTTCTTCAGTGTACCAAAACAGACTCCTTACAAATTACTGTCTTATTGATTAAAAAGGATATTTATTTCTAAACAATTTTTTTGCATTTATAAATCTGTTAAGATAAAAAGTCAAACCAAAGAAACCCTAGAAGTCCTTAACATACATGAGAAAAGAATGATGTTTTATCTTTAAAAAAAGTCTCTTTAATTAAATCTTATTTTTATAATTAAAAAAAAATTATCATATATGCTACCTTAAATTCTTCAAATAACTTTTAACATTTCTTTAAAGAAATGGTGAGCTAAATAGCTCATAAAGTGAATTTTGGTACCTAAATAGTAACCTACAGTTAACCTAAAACAACACTGAAAAATTCTTAAAACTAATTGCACATATAAGTAATCTTTATATGATAACTTCTGCATGTCTACTTTCAAATTTGCAAACACAGAAGCAATTGTAGAATACTCTAAATTGTACTTACAGGACATTTCCTAAAATCATCGGCTGTATTTGCTGCCTGCAGCAATTCCGCGAACATTTCAGGTTTAAAACGTTCGTGCCTTTCCACCATTCTTTCAATTTCATTGCTACAAAAGAAAAAGCAAGCAGTCCCAAATCTGTCATATGCACCCATAAAGGACCTACTACATTAAACGAAAGTTCTAGATTGTCATATAGATGTGATCATTTTCTCATGTTAAAACATGATTTTATCTGAAAAATTTAACTACAAACTTGTAGCAAGTGACAAATTGTGAAACTTGGCATGAGTATAATGAAAAAAAAATTTTTCACAGTCAAATAACATGAAAGAACAGCACTGCTTGGAGCCACACAGACAACATCAGGTGTGCCACCTGAAAGCAGTTCTAGGCGGCTGTTTCTTTTACATTATGACTTGACAACTACAGACAACGCATTTTAGGATTTGGGGAATAGTAAATAAGCATTGGCTTCGAATCAAAGCCACTAGGTGCTCTCACCCCAGGCAACAGAGTCTTTGAAGCTTTGAACTCAGTCATTGACTTTTTCCCTATGAGAAGTCCTAGATGGCTTCTTCTCTAAAACAAAGCTAATTCACCCACACTGAAACTCTGCTGTTTGCAGCCACCTGTCAAGGACCACAGACACACCTTCTGCATAAAGTACTATCGTTTCTCCAGCAGCACCTGCTGCTTCACCTTGCATTTCAACCTTGCATTCTGATGTGATGTAGATGGTTTCTTTCCTTAAGCTTCACGAACCAACATCTGCTAGGTTCACACTTTTCTTCAGCTCCCTCAGCCCTCTCAACCACTACAGAATTGAGTTAGGGTCTCACTGTGTATAGGTGTCAGCTTAAAGGAATGTTGTGACTCATCTGTTCTATCCAGACCACGATACGGAGATATCAGTAAGGCTGTTTTACTTTCTTATTTCATGTGTTCACTAAAGTCACATACTTGAAATTTCCTTTAATAACTTTTTCTTTGCATTCACAACTTGGTGAAGTTATTTGGTACAAGAAACCTAGCTCTTGGCCTGTCTTGACTAAGACAGGTCCCCCCCACCCACCACCACCACCATTAAGTCTAATCATTTAGAACATCTGATTTCAAGTGAGTGAAATACAACTCTTTCTACCATTTGAATGCTTTGAGCACGCCATGTGGTTATTAATTGGTCAAATTTCAAAACTGCTGTTCATCAGGCCCAAGGACAAAGAGAGAAAAAGGGAAGCAGCTGGTCAGTGGAGCAGTTTAGGACACCCACATTTATTAAATTCACTGTCCCATGTGGATATAATCAGTGGCACCCCCAAACCATTATAATATTAGCGTTAGAGATGATGGACCACATACCATGAGATAAAATAATAATTTGAAGTACTATAAGAATTACCAAAATGTGACACAGAGACCAGAAGTGAGCACATGCTGTTAGAAAAATAGCACCCATCGACTTGCCTGAAATTTCAGTTTGTAAAGAACATGTTATCTGTGAAGCCCAGCAAGGTATGCCATGCAGCTCTGTGGCTAAGTCCAACACCCAGCTGAGACAGACGTCACTGAGCATCTCTGATGGTGGCATACTTAGTTTCATACAGAAATTAGAAATCCACGTATGTTATGGTTTGTAAAATAAATGCCCTACGTGCTACTATCTTTGGCTGTTATATTTCAGTGGGTTCTTACCAGAGGGCTGTCGTAGAAATGTACCGCACAAACTCTGTGAAGGGCAGAGGGTCTGACGAAGCACCGCAGCTGCGACACACACGCTGCAGGTAAAATGTAGGTTTAGCTCATCAGTCATAAAACGTCAACAGAGTAGCTAACGAGACAGTTAAGCATCTCACCTGCTCATACAGAGTCATAGCAAACTTCTGGTGCGTGATACAAGATTTAGAGGTGCACATGTCAGCATCTCTGCTTGGCACTATGTGAAAATGAATCCTCTCCAATATGTTTTCCTAATTTAAAAAATTACAAAGTAATCTGAGGATCTTGCAGAGAACATTACAAAATACAACGCTCTTTTAACTTCACAAGTCTGAGAATTTTTTTAGAGATTTTTCCAAAGTCTAATCAGCTTTTCAGCTTTCCTTCTTTGCCCCCCCATCACACCCCTTTCACCCTCCCTCTTAACTTCAGCAGTCTCACTTTATCAATATCCACTCGTCTTGACAAGAATCATCTACAATGCAAATGTCCAGTGTTTGTCTTTGACTTGCTTTAACTACACATAATTCCTTCAAATGCCTTTAATTTCGCTGTAAATGGCAATGCTTTGTCTTTGTATATGGCTGAATAATATTCCATTGTGTGGATAAACCACATCCCCTAGATTCTTTCTCTATCACTGGGCCCTGCGGTTATTTTCCAAGAGCTAGCTATTGCAAAGGAAGGCCACAATAAACAGTACAGCACAGTACAGACAGCCAAAAGTGGGGCTGCTAGGTCACACAGTGTTTCCAGTTTTTGTTTTTTAAGGTAAACCCAGACTGCTCCCGCCACGGCTGTGCCAGTTTACGCTCGCTCCAAAGCGTCCCGGGATTCCTTTCTCCGCATCCCCTCCAGCACTCGCTGTTAGGGTCTCACTGACACGCGCTGCTCCCAGGTTGGGGGGACAGCCTGACGTGCGTCTCCCTTACTAGAAGCAATGAGGAACCCTTGTCCGTGGGTCTGCTGGCCTTCTGGACACTCTCATTGGTGAGCTGTCTGTTCAGCTCTGCTGCCCAGTTATTACTCTATTTTTCTTTTAGTCAACACTTTAAACATTGTTTATTCACCTTTTGTAGCACTAGCTTTAACAGTTCTTTTTCTAAAAGGAGCACTAGAGTGTGACTTGTTACTTTAACAATGATTTTTAAAATAATTTTAAAATCAATTTATGATGACAAACACCTGGAATTTAATCTTAGAAAAGATAATTTTTTATGTTCCCAGCATTTACATAGTGAGAAAAAGAAACAATGTTTTTAAAATCCTTCTTAAATCATCCTGATAGTCTATACAACTTATATCAAAGTATCAATGGTAAAGGCTCAGAAAATTTGTTAACTCCCCCAATGTAAGGAATCTGCAACAAATTCCATATGAAAGTTCATATTTATGATGCAGATAAACAAGGAGTATATATGTATTTCCTAAAGAAAATAGCCCTTAATTTTACCAAAGCTTAACCAAGGACAGTTAAAACTCCTCAGACCAAGGACAGTTAAAACCACCCAACCAGTTAAGCGTGAAATTCTAGGTACTCTATGAATTATACTACCTATTAGTACATTTCATTTAAGTAAAAGTAAAACTATAAAAATCAACATTGTACATAATATTTTCATTTATGCATATTTATGCTTGTAAAAAATATGAAGAGCATATTTCATGACTTTGTGCTCATCTTGACATATTTTAATCAACCTGCCCAGTTTGCTAAGCACTGCATTAGTGAAGGATCCTTCCACCACGATCTACAGAAACAGTAATAAATGTGCATTAAAAAAAAATGATTGCCTATGGTGATGGCGCATGGGTGATTTGGTGATGGGAAGCCCACAAGGATTACAACTGAGATGGAAAAAGGCACAAAATGATGTAAAAATAAACGATTATATTATTTTTTAAAAAATGATCGCATGTAGATGTCAAATGAATTCTACACAAAGTAAAATCTATAGGAATTCAGACAATGGTTGGGATGGTTTGGTCACACATTATCTCAACAGTGTGATTCAGGGGAATGCTTAACCAAATGACCAATTGGGAAACGTTTGGCTCTTCTGACTATGACCGAAGGCTGTGAGAGCAGGAATTTAAAGGATGTGTTTAAGAAAGTATAGGATCATCTCACTGGAGGGAAAATTCAGAAGAGAAGCCAGGTGACAGCTGAAGTTTAACTGTAAAGAGCCTTCAATGTCAGAACAGAGTATGACTTGAACAGAATATTTGAAGACAAGCCCTCTTCTGGAGAAACAAATCTTGTGGCACTAAAAACTAGACTATAAGCAGACAAGCTGAAACAACACCAGTAGGGAGGCTTAAACAATACTTAGATGCCTGAACTAGAAGAGTTGATCACAGGAAAGTAAAGTAGCAATGAAAACCTTCAAAGGGATTCCCAATGCTAGAATTCACAAAATTTGCTGATGTTTGAGGATCTAGGAGAAGAAATGGTTCCACATCTGAAATACAGGTGACACTTATATTATTGAAACATTGAATAATTAATATACACACTTTAGAAGATGTATAGATAGGATTCTGATCATGAGAACGTTCCACTTATTAATATGATGGTAACGCAGCCTCAGAACATCAGCCTCACTCACACTCTCGACCTGGAGGGAGGTACACGTCACAGCTGCTGCCCTCAATAGCCGCACGCCAAGACCCTATTCTCTTTCAAACAGAATCACGGCATGAAAAGGAAAATGTTACTGCTGGGAGAGGAGTGTGCTGTACACATAAACCTGTGATGGCAGAAAACTGGCTAAGTGGTACAACTTACATTTAATAAGCCTTTTTTCTAATAAATAGATTTTAAAATACTCTAGTAGCTGGCCAAATAGTCAATAAAAATTAGAGCAGAACAAATAACCAAAGAAGTCACACACAACACAGATGAGTTAAACAGCACTGCCAAGGGAGACAGCATTCACTACCCAGATCAGTACTTTACCACTGCTAAACACTCTCATTGCATTATTCTCAAAATTGGCATCATTTAAGGAATAAAAAACATTGTCCACACTCAAAGGTTGCCAGAAAGACTTACAAAGCATTCGGCGGCATCATCCATCAGACCAAGCTGAAATCGCTGCTCATCCTTGAAGCTTTCCGCAAGAGCATGCCTGATGTTATCGGAGGGAAGGGCTTTTTCTCGGCTGTGCTGAAACTGTGCAAATATTGTCTAGGAACCAAGAAACACATTGAGAAGTTCAACACTAACTTAAATAAGTTCATGACAACACAATGAAACTGAAAATAGTAAAGTCAAAGACTAATACAAAACAGTCTAAAATTGCTCTAAAATTCTGTTAAAAAGCTTTTGTACCAGTAATGTGCAAAAATGGTGCAACTACTTCTAAATAAGATGATGTGGTGTACAAGAAATAAGTGCAAAGTTTTTGGGCTCCATCCACAGAGATTCCAACTGAGTAAGCCTGAGGTGGGGCCCATTCAACTAATTCCCCTTGATTCTGATGCAGGCTGTTTAAGGAAGGGTTCTGAGGTGAGTGGCTTTAAATCTAAACACATGCAGTAAGAATTAAAATTACTTTAGCCAAAAGTAAATATATAATTGCATAAAAATCAGTACAAACTACTAGTAAAAAAAAAATGTTAAAGCAGTCTTAGTGAACTTTTGTAATTTCCTGTTTCTAGTAGGGTCTTAAGTAAAGCTCAAAAAAACTGCAAACTGATTTAAAAACAAAAATAATATAATCTCAAAGAAATTATAATTTCTCACCATTTTTAAATTTTGTTTTTGGAAATGAAAATGTACATTTAGTAAGAAGAATCATAGAAAAGATGATTACTTTTAATTAATTTTTTTTTCCATTTATCAATTTTCCTCAGAGAATACTTTCTAGCCTAGGCCTAAGAAACAGCTACATTCAACACATACAACTATAAGCTGTATGTTTCTCTCTCTTTACTAAATTATACAAAAAAAGTTTTATTACTAAGTTCTAGTTCTGTGACAAACTTCTTTAGAGTGGGGAAAGTGGAGAGGGAAAAAATGCTGACAAACTATCAAATGAGGATCAGTAATACTAAATTCTGTATTATCACAAGGGGTCAGGTCATTCCCCGCCAAAAACTGTTTGAAGATCAACATATGACAGACTAGGAAAACATTTCAAGGGTCAGTCCCACTACTGAAAAACTAAAACAAAAACATAATTTACAGATCCATATTTAAAAATAAAAATTCAAATGTTAACGGGTATCCAGAACTATAAAAATTTCAGCTATAGTTACAAATAATGTGAAAAAATTTTTGATGTCATCTTGTTTAGTTAATTGTTTCAGATGTTTAAGGTATTAATCCTATGCCAGACAGTCTCTTATTTGATATCGACAATTGTTGGGGTGAAATGAACACTTTTGGACCTCCTGAATAAACTCCACAAATGAGTTTTATGGATCCCACCCCAGATCAAAGAGATCCAAGATGCCAAGGACTACAAATCCCATAATGTCATCACTGCCAAAGGGAGGTTTGCTGGGAACTGAGGGTGGAGTTAAGCAGCCAGGCTGGGTAAATGACCAGACGTGTGGGTCTTGGGGGTCCTTGGTTCTTCACAGCTGTCAGCGTGCTGTTGGGGTTCAGTTCAGCAGAACTGGTAGGATGAATTCACCAATTTATCTGTCTCTTTATTTCCCTGAGTTATTCATTTCTTCATTTCTCCTTTTTTCTTTTCCCCTTTACTACACTTCTTGCGTGCGCCTGTGGTGGAGTCTCACTGGAAGTTCCTTTTAAGCACCCTGTAAGGACCCACAGTCAGGCCAACCCATTTCACATTGAGGTTGCCCTGTAACAGTTTTGGACTGTAAGTATATATACAAGGTACGCTTCTATGCTGCAAAACAAAGACCCTGTCTTTGTGGAGCATATATTCTAGTTGTAATGGGGAGAAGGCAAAAAAGTAATAGAGAACACGTCAGAAAGTAGCAATTATACAAAAGGAAAAGAAGAAGATATAAAATGAGGAAAATGAAGTAATGTAATAGGAATAAGGATTGTAGGGATAGGGTGGTGGCAAGGAGCTTACCTTTTACCTAGAGTAGTCAAGGAAGGTCTCACTGATGGAAAAGTGACATTGAGGAGAGGCATAAAGGAAATAAGGGTGTTAGACACAAGAACAACTGGAAGAAAACATTCTAGACAAAGGGATTACGATGAAAGCATGGACCTGGAAGTCAGCTCTGAGAAACTGCAAGGGGCCAGTCCAAAGTGCAGTGTGCATCAGTGGGTATCTGGGCATGTGGGCGCTTTGGCTGGGATGAAGCCAGCGGGAGGAAGAAGCAGATAATTGTGAGTTATGAAAGATTTGGGCTTGGAAACTTAATTTACCATTAGACAAAACATTCAAAGTTTACTGGGTGGGAACAAAATGTAATATTCTAATCTAATCTAAGTTCACTCTTTATCCCCAAACGATAACCCCATTTGATTGTGTATGGCTATTCTCTTCTCAAAAAGGAGAACATAAAATTGTCTCCTTTGAAAATTTCTTCAAACAATCTTCTCAGGAACATAAAGAAAATAAAGCATGAAAATGTACATTTATTTTTCTATATACGGGTGTGTGTATATGTGTTAAATATATTCAATTGGCTCTAGCATTCATTTCTAGGAATATGTTAGTAAAATCAAGTGACTGGGCAAAAGTTTCAGTGACAGCAATGAGTTGCTAATACATCCTGGACCCCCCCCCCTTCCACACTTCTTTTTGCCACTGTTGTCCTTCACTTATTCTCAAACTGTGAAAGATATGGACATGTCCAAGCATTTTATCTACTTAAAACAGATTCTATGCCTCCCCAAATCACTCGAGAGAAGGCTACTTAATCTGTGCTCCTGTTTCAGTTATTTAGTGCTCTGTAATTCACCACCCAGCCCTTAGTTAAAATAAGCACTGATACTGCTTTTGGTAACAAATGGGCAGTGAGTTACCCAGGGCAGCTTGGCTTCCTCACAGCACGGCAGCATCCCTGAGAGACAGCTCAGTGGAAGGAACACAGAACTTTAGTGGAAATGATCATGAAGCTCTCCACATCTGTAATTAAGGAATTGCACTCCGCTTTTGATAGGAAGAGCGCAACAGCATCCGCGGACAAATCATTTTAAAGCCGCCACACCTCAGCGCCGAGCTCATGGTCTACTCTCTTCCGCCATCAGCTTCTGCTCCCTGAAGCCCATCCCACCTGTTACCCTGAACATGTCACCCACTCTGTCACCTCAGTGGCCTCAAATTGCTGCCCAGAATGCTCTGGTCCACTCCACTTCCTTTTAGGTCTTATTTCAAATGTTCCTTCTCTGTCAGGCTTTCTTGGCCTGAACACTATTTATTTTCCCTGACTTACCCCCTCTCCTTGGCCCATACTCTGCATTCTGCTTACTTATTGTCTCCTCCCATACAAGGATATATGCTCCATGAGTTAAAGCATTTTCATCAGTTTAGCTCACTGCTGTGTCCTTTAGTATCCAGAATTTAATAGTAGCTCCAAAGAACACTTGTTATAATGATAATTATATGAAATTAATGAACAATGTAGCATTCCTAACAATGTCATACTAATTGTTAACTTTAACTCTTTATATATAAGTGAAAAATAAAACCACAAATCAGAGTAAGTCACACTTTAAGAATTCATCTCTAAAAGTAAGTAACTTGGCAATGAACTTTAATTTCAATTAAACTAACCCAACATGTGTCAAAAAAATTAAATTGGGGGGAGCAATTGCCAGTAATTTTTCATAACTATCAAAAGGTTACCTTCAATGCACAAAATATGCAAGCATCTCCCTGACAAACATGTCCAGTCAGAACCCGCAAGCTTCGTCGGAATATATCCAATTGCCATAAAACCTAGAAAGCAGGGAGATATGATGAAAGAAACACAGTAACATTGTTTTCATTGATAAAATTTTACAATTTGTCTTTTACAAATTTAAAAAAATCTACAATTTGTCAAGTCGTAGAAGCTAATAACTTCTAATCACTTGCATATAGTCATACATGCATCACTGCTAAAAATAACAGCAAGAGAAAAACTGCTATATATTTCATGCTCAGACAAAAGATGGTTTGGAAGATAATTCCTATTGAATTACATATAAAAAGTTCGTTGGGCATAGCAAGTAAAAAACTAACTCCTCAGTTAAAAAATTTATTTGAAAAGGAAATATGGGTTACTGAATGGAGAACTTGGCAGACATAAAAGAGGAAGTGATTATAAATACTTGGAACCAACTGGAATTTAGAAAGGAAATATAATTGGCACTACAGACCAGGGTGTACCAAATAGGGGTTAGTACAACATGGCAAGAAAAAAGAGTGAGCAGAAGCCTGCTAGTCAATGGATCCCGACTGAAGGGGGATCTGTGTGGCCATGGAGATACAAGTTAGTAAAAATAATAGGTGCATATTTCAATCATATTTGCTGCAGTGGTTCTATACATCATGTCCTAATAAAAGACAAAAACAAAATAACCCCTCCAAAAAAAGAAGTAATTATTGAAATACCTCAGTTCAGAACTAAACCATTCTGGAAACCTGAAGTCTAAACAATGTGGATAATAACAGGCCTGCCTCAAAGAGTTCTTGTGAGGATGAAATAACACAGAGTAATATATAAACTGCTTGATGCAGTGCTCAACACAAAGCATGACAGCTGCTCTTTGCTACTGCAATTACTATTACAACCACAAAAATAAGACCTTCAACTTTCTCTATATCTGTCAGTCATTTCTCCAAATGATGTAACTAAGGTCTCTCATTTCTCCCAATGAAAAGACAAAGGTTAGTTAAGAAAATGATTTAACAAGTTTCCTCTAATTTCATTTACCCAGTAACTAAAGGTCACTGTAGAATTTGCTTTTTCATAAAGCATGAGTAACAGAATGCATTTATCTATTGCAAATAATTCAGAATTTTGCAAAAACACTTGGAAATGTTTACTGACTTCCTCACATATCATAACCTCACATACCATATATCACTCTGTCTGTGGTGAATCCTCGCAAACCACCTCCCCCGCCCCCACACCACACTTCTGACGCACCAGAAGTTCTATGCAAAAATAAATAAAATTAGCGAAAATCTTACAATAAAGGGGTAATTCTTTAAAAATAAATAAATAAAATGGATGTACAGTACAATCCAGCAATTCCACTCCTAGGTATCTCCCACGGAATAAAAAATACCAACTTGCAGGTATAGATGCAACTGAAGTGCAATTTACAGTAAAGCAAGCTATGGAAACAACCTCAGTGCCGACAGTCAGGGCCCAAGGCCAGTGAATTAAGAAGATGCAGTATATATACACAAGGGCGTACCACACAACTATTACAGAAAGATGAAATCCTGCCAGATGCAACACGGACAGGATTATCCAAAGTGAAGCAAGTGAGAAGGAGACAGACAAGCACTGAACAATTTCCCTCTGATATGGAATATAAAGAACAAAACAAAGGAACAGGCAAAACTAAACCAACACAAATGCTAGAAATTTGACTACTGAATCGTGTCAAAAGAAGGGGAAGAGTGGAAGATAGAAAGCAAAGGAGGGAAGGAGCCCCGTGGACTGTGGTGGGGGGCCACGGGGTGCCTCAGTGGTGGGGTGGTGGGGTAACATGCATCTGTGGCAGATGAGCCTGTATCCCAGAACCGCATATAGTGTTGTGAACCAATATACCTTAATACGGAATTAAAAAAGAAAATTACAGATTAACATCTGTCTTTTGTAAAAATAAAGCCAAGGTTTTCCACACCTGTTCTATTTGAATAGCATTTTTGTCCATGAGAAATGGCTTTGTGAATTAGAGTATATCATAGGCAAACTGAAACCTTGGAGGCCAACAGCTTGTCTTGAGTTGAACAGCTTGCGAGTTCAGGCAAGTGGCAGGGTGCAGCTGACTGCTCAGGAAAGAACTGCACAGTCCATGCACGAGATCGGCAGTAGGCCCTGTTTCCGGGACTCAGGTGAAGAAACTGCCTGAGGCCACAGACCAAATACCCAAAATACTAGAGAGCTCGAACAGCCCAAGATAGTGCCATTCCACAACAGCCAAAATGGAAAGGTGCATAATTCACAGAGCACTGGCTAAAGAAGGCAGTCCCAGTAGTAGGAAAAATAACCGTGCAATAAATATAGTTCTGGCAATACTTAACCAAATAAAATGATCAAACTCACTTCCCAATAAAATTAGATATTTTGATTTAATCAAATTCAGGAATATTTTAAGGAATATAAAAATAGCACCCAATAAGCTAATATTCAAATAACCTAACATTCAATCATAAATTATCAGGCATAGAAAGTAACATGAAAATATATTCCAGAACATGGAGCGTGGGGAGAATCAACTGAAATACCCAGAATGTGCACAAATGACAAAATTAGCAGACAAGTACAATAAAATAATTATAATTGAATTTCATACATTCAATAAGTTAGAGAAAAGATTAAATATATCATTCGATGTGAACGATTTTTTAAAAGACCCAAGTCAAATAGCCAAGATTTGCTGAATTTTAAAATTAAGCAAATAATTATGGTCTTACCTGTACAGCACTATTCAGGAAGCAGCTGTTTTGTCCTGGTTCATTGAACAAGCCTATGGTAGGAGCGAGGGATACCATGCTCCCATGGTAGACTTTTCCAAGATTGCCACCAGGTTTCCGTAAGAATTTTACCCACGCCATTTCCAAGTGACTTTGTTTGCATGAAAGCTAAGAATTACACATTTAAGTGAGATTTCTGATGATAAAACAGATGATGTCTTGGCCCGCCCACTTAAATTCACTGTAGTCTATGATGAGAACATAAGTATCCAAGTTCATATCTTTCCTGAGGCTGTGAAATTGGGAGGACTTTGTCAAGTAAAAATAAGATGCATAAATATTTATTTTGAAAGCTTAAAAAGAGTTATTTTAAAAAAGAGTAAGATTTTTGTATGTGCTAAAATATACAGGGCAATATAGTTTAAGGGGAAAAAGACTGTATGAAAACTGCCAAAAATAATGTCGATGAGCAAATCATTTTCTTTAAAGCACAAGCCACTTGTCTTGTAGGTTCAGAAAACAAATGACATGAAAAGATGCAGAACTGCCATCAGCATGATTCCTTCAATTGTTTCTTTGTGTCTAGTATGGAAAAAGAATCTCTTTCTCGGATGAAGTCATCAACAGTGATTCCATATTTCTTACCAGTAGGACCTCAAAGCAAATCTACAAAAGAAGAAAATATTTTTTAAATACTTTAAAAGCAAATCAAGTACATTCGTACTTTACTACTGGAAGACAAATACATAATTTAAAAAATAATAATAAAAAGGATTATAACAAATAACATTACAAAATATAAAAATAAAATTATAGTTCCTAATTATAATTCTTAAAATATCAACTACTTCTCCCTCAATATTTCAATGTTCATTTGGTGGTGACAAGAGACAATCATTATATAGAAAAAAAAATTAAATTAGATCTCAGGTCAATTTGCTATGAGCACTAAGTTGCTTTGTTTACTAAAACAAATTCATATGACAATAGAGAATCTATTGCTACATTACACAGAATCATATTTTCTTTCTAAGAATGTCAATATTACACAAATTGATATACACAACTACATAGGAAAAAACTCTGAACTGATCAAAAAACCTAGTGAATTAAAGTAAATTTCCACATGATTTAAGAACAAGTACTCCTGACTAAAACTACTTCGAAAGTTTTTAAGCTTAATTAAAAACAATCAAGTGTTGCTAGCAAAGTTTTGTTTAATCAATTACATTTCCTTCCTGTATTCATTCATTCAACAAACATTCATTGAGGCATGTGCTGTGCCAGGCACTGGAACTAACAACATAAAAAGGGAATGGCCGACAATGATATTTTGAAAACTAAATTGTAGAAGTTTTGTGCCGAGTATAACAATAAAACGACAAAAGGAAGGGCATGGAAAGTTTATATAACGTACAACAACATGGATGCTTTATTTAGCAGAAGGGAGAAAAAAGGGAGATGGGAAAGAAAGAACAGTAGTCCTTGGTTAAGATTTGGGCATTAAAGTCTGAGTAGACGTGAAGGAGTTTTATTTTCACCAAATAAAAAGTTGATGCAGGCCCTCCCTGGTGGCGCAGCGGGTTAAAGCACTGCACTAAGAAGCTAAAGCCACTTCTGCATGAGTTCGATCCCTGCCCCAGAGGTGACCCACATGGCGCAGCAGACCTCTCCTGACCCCCCCCCCCGCTGCTCCCCTCAGCAGTGTACTTTGTCTTAGGCCTGTTCTGCTCCCCACTCTGTCTGGTGAATCTTCTCACCGCCCCTGCACCTCTGGCCTGTACCTCAGTTCTGTATGTATAAATAATTAAATCTTTTTTAAAAAATAAAAAAAGAAAGTTGAGGCAGAATGGCACAGCTCAGCTCAACACCACTGATGAAATAGCCACTAATAGCAAAGCACAGAGGAATAAAGAAAAAAAGTGTTACTTACTAAAGAAAGTCAGAAGACTTGTTTGCAGGCCCACATAATACTTCATCACTAATTAGCTGTTTGATCTTAGATAAACTCATGATCCCATTTTGGTAAAATAAACTTGTGTGAAAAACAGATACGCTTTATATGATCATTGGTGTAAGGAGTGTGTGAGCTGTGTATGTGTGTAACTGAAATAAGGGTAGACAGACAGCTAAAAAATTGAAAGTGGAAAAATTATGTACAAAAATACACATCACATACATTAATTACATTTATGCATTATATAAGTTAAGTATGTAAATATACATGTGTATATAAAGTGAAGACAAAAAATGATATACCAAAAACATATAAATCAAAAGAAAATAATGTAGCAAATTTAGGATCAGATACAGTATATTTAATAGTGAATAGTGAGCTAAAAGTTAAATTTATAGAAAACTGAAAAAACTGCACACCAAATAATATGTTATTTTAGAGTGAGCCTATATATAACAAATTCAAAAATCAACTGAACATTTTAGGCTGCGTAGGAAACAGCAATAAATTCCAAAGATCAGTACCAGAAGGACTATGTTCACTGACTATAATATGAGATAGAAGTGAATGGCCAACTTAATAATCCTTTGGTTAAACAGAACAACATAAGCTCTATCTACATATAACCCTCCCAGTGCCGCAACCCCTGAGAAAGGACAGAAAGAGTTCCTCAAGAGAGGCAGTCCTTCACTGACAGCACCTACACGCACTGGAATACACACCCCACGGGCTTGTGATGGCCTCTGGAACGGCGGCTTGTCTGCAGCCCAAGCCCACAGTTCCCAGACCGCTCTGCTCCTGTCTCACTAGTCACAGAAGCCACAAGCCAGAACCTGGAGGACAGTTGAGGCAAGTTGGGATGCTCTGACTGAGCAGACTCCCCCTGGGCTCTGGCACCCAAAGCCCTATAGAAGCTTTGCCTCTTTGATCCCCACTGTCCAAGCTACCTACTGTCGGCACTAAATCTCCAGTCACCTAACAGGTTCAGAGGCTTCCTTCTACAGACACTCTGAGATCCAGGACAAACAACCTAGGATTATACCCTGCAACCTATAATCTTAATATAAAGCCAACACATCAAATTAAGAAAAGAAAGCTGTTTACCTTAGCCCATTAAAAACTACAAATGAAGACAGGAATATACTACAAATGAAACAAACAAACAAACAAACAAAAAACCAGAAACAAATCTAAATCTAAATCCAGCAGAACTAGGTAATTTACCTTAAGAAGAGTTTAAAGCAACAGTCCTAACTAAACTTGTTGAAATAAGAAAAACAGTAAACAAAATGAGAGCTAAACAAGAATAGGGAAAATATAAGAAAGCTTCAAGCAGGAATAATGGGCTTAAAGAATTCTATAAGTGAACTAAAATAAATAATACAGGGGCTCAACAGTAACATGAGGAAGCAGCTAATAGAATCAGCAAATTTGAACACACTTAGTGGAAAACACACAAACAGGCCAGCCAAAAGGAAAAGTGTTACATTGAATTTCATGGTATCAGTTCATGGGTGATGTGGCAGTGGGATACTCATGGGCACTACACCTGAGGGGAGAAATGAAATACTGTACAAAAAAATGAACATGTTTAAAAAAAAAAGAAAGAAAGCTTAGCTAAAACAAAACAGAACAAAAAAACTTTAAAATTAAAAATAAATAAAAATAAAATGAATGCAGGTAGACTAAGAGTCTGGTGGGATAAGACTAAGAGAACATAATACTAGGGCATTAGAGGAGTCCCAGAAAAGAGATGACAAAGACCAAGGGGCAGACATTTAATTTAAAGAAGTAACAGTTAACAGTTCCCCTACCTTGGGAAAGGAAACAGACATCCTCATCCAAGAGGCTCAAAGAGTTCCCAACAAACAAATACACCCCAAGACATATAAACTGCTAAAAACCTACTGACAAGGAAAGAATACTAAGTGCCAAAGAAAAATGTTAAAAATAAAGGAATCCGGTTCCTCCCTGGTGGTGCAGTGGGTTAAAGCACTGCACTGAGAATCTAAAGCCACTTCCACATGAGTTCGATCCCCGCCTGCCCCGGAGGTGACCACATGGCACAGCAGACCTCTCCT